CTGTAATGATTTGAGTTAAGGTTGTTTTTTCCCTCTTCCATCTTCTCAACTTCTGAGTCTTGGAGAGCCCTTGGGCTCAGGCTCAAACCTTTTATCTTTACACTTCATACATTTCATGTCTTTACATTTTATATTCTTTTCTTTTCACTCCTTTGGGTTTTTGGACCAGTTTCATAGCTTTTCCTTAAGTACCATCTGTGTGTTTACCGCTCCCAATTTTGTACACTAGCCAAGATCTTCTTTCCACCTAATCTCCATATTTCAACATCTCCCATTCCTACTCACCATCTCCATGTGAATATGTCAGACTTCTCAAGTGTAGTACATGTACTGTGAGAATTGCCACTGAATTTTGCAAGTAAGATCTTTATGTTCTACTGATACTCCTTTCTTTCATACTTTTCTCTCCTTTCAACTCAGGACAGTCTATATGTCGAGATGTACACCTCAAAAGTTTTTGAATGGAAAAAAAAAGTTTTTGAATGGTCTTGAGACAGTTCCTCTTGTTTCTGTCGTTTATTGTAGAGTTGGAACCAACCCATAGCTGACCCTCCAGCACGTTTTCAGAGGCAGTTAACCACACATGAGATGTTTCTCCCATGGAGCAGCCATTCCTTCCCACCAAGCTGCTGGAGCTCCCTACTTGTACCCTTATTTCTAGTCCTTCCCTTTTGCCTAGGTCAACTGTACATTCCCGTTAATTCTATATTAGTAATTTAATTTACCAGTATGTGTTAAAATATTGTCGTTTTAGAGAGAGGAAGAAACATAAATAACTAGATGCAGATGTTGTTGGATCCCATTAGCTTTAACTCCACCTTTCCCTACCCCCAACACTCATTTTTTAAAAATGTCATTGTTAGGTGGTGTTGAATGAGCAGTGACTCACAACGACACTATAAACAGCAGACCTGATCGCTGCTTATTCTGAGCCATACTGACCATTTCTGATATGCTCGAGCCCATTGTAACAGTCACAGTGTCATCTTGCTGAAATTCTTTCTCTGTCTTGTGACTCTCTGCCTTTCCCAGAATGCTGGTTTTTCCCAATGACTGGCCCTCCTGGCAGCCTGGCCCCTCCTGACAGCATGCTCTAAGTGTGTGA